GGTTTTGTTCACAGAGCCCAGCATTTCATATCACAAATGTCACTGTCACTTGTGGAACTATTTGTGATGTTGGTTTTCAGTCTCAGCAGAGTCCAAGAATACAGAGTTTGATTCAACTCCTACTGAACTGATTAGAACGACTCCAGTATTGGAGAGACTTTTACAGCTGCTTTCCAACTCTGCTGATAGCAAAAGATCTTCATGCTAAAGTGATTTTAATTCAGCATCTTTCATGCGTATTAGATATAGAAAACATAAATGTAGACTTAGCTTTGACTTTAACCAAAGTTCTCCTGATTCTTTTATATGTGTAAAACCATAATTGAGAACAGGACCCTGTACTTTATAACAAATGTCTGTTAGTTAATTTTGGGCAATTAATCACACTTTTACAGAGTTGCATTTCTTTACATCATACATATCTACTTGCAATAAAATCTACTTGAATCTGTTTAATAATCGATAAATATTTTACCATAGCTGATTTGTTTGTCCTTATTCCCTTGCTATTCTTGCCACTCTTTTAGCTTTTAAAATCTGAATTTGTGTTTTCTGAACCTTAAAGCCATGGAAATATTGCTCCTTTCAGACTGCCATACCAGTGTAGATTCTTAGGTGTAATTCCAATCTGTCAGCAGATGGAGACAGTGTTTTGAGACTTTTGGATGATGTCATGACCTGCAGAGGTTTATCAGGTCCCAGAGCTCAGTTTTTCTGTCTCCAGCAGGGGGAGCATTGGAATCCTTGAAGGCTATGGAGAAAGGCTGAACAAAGGAGATGCATCTTTGAGAGGGTGACAGACATCCAGGAAGATTTTTCAGGTGTTCATTAAGGCGAGGCTTCAAAAGTGCCTGCTGTTGGTTGGAGTGCAGTGAGCTAATACTCACAGGGGTACAGTTTGGCAAACTCCTGAAGTACCTTCCAGATAAGGAAGCCAGTGATATCTTTGAGAGAAAAATATGACAAAACATTAACCGCCCCCCAGCAAGTTCTTTAGGTGCATAGAGAATAGTCTTCTGTTCCAGAAAGTTAAAAAAACAATTAGTAGATCATTCATTTTTGGATCTGGTTCTGACTAATGGGGTTATAGACTGGTTACAAATGTGAAAGTGGTTAAAAAAAAAAAAATCTGGGACAAAGAGATCATGGCATGATAGAATTCATGATTGTAAGACAGTGGTTCTTAACCCAGGACACACTGCTGTAACCTTCTTTGTATTTGGTGACACCTTGGTTGAGAACCACTGCTGTTCAGCCTTAGCTTCCCTTGGTGGTCCTCAGGGTACAGCTGCTGATGCTGCCACCACTGCTACTACCACGAAGTTAAAGTGCCTTGTGTGTCGCATGAACAGCCAGATTGGGAAGTGACTGTAGCAGGATCATATGCTCCTGCCTATATTAGGGCTATTTGATAAGCTTAAAGCAGGCAGGAGTGCCTACTTTTGCTGCAGCCCTTCCTGGTTGACCCTCCCCATCCCCCCTGCTCCTCCTGGAAAAAGATGTGCAGGACAGTTCCACCTGACCTGTGCACCTGTTTCCAGAAGATGCTGTATAGTGTCAGACAGAAAAAGGCTCTAGCAAGAGCAGGCACTTTTGCCTGCTTTATGCATAGTAGCTTTATTCAGGGAGGATCACATGCTTATGCAGCAGCCCTTTCTGATCTGGCTGTATACAAGGCATGCAGGGCAGTTCCATGTGGCTGTGGCAGTGGCACCCACGTTGTGGCACTCCTGAAATGCTCTTTTGGCTCCCAGAGTGCCATGGCATCCTGGTTGAGAGCCACCATTATAAGGAAAACAAGGATACTGGACTCTAAAAGGAGATTGCAGCCTATGCAAAAAAAAAATAGTAGGACAGGTTTCCTGATTAAACAAATTAAAACGCAAAGGACTCCAAAGTGCTGCTGTTTCTAAAGGGCATACAAATAGAGGCTCAACGTCAAGCTATTCCAACATGGAGGAAGGATAAGAATTGTGAGAGACTGATGTGGCTGCACAAGTTGCTTTTTAACCATATGAAAATCTAGAGATGCATAAAGGCAGTGGAAGCAAGGGAATGTCACTAAGGAAGTAAAGGAAGGAATGGCACGGGCAGATAGGGACAAAATCAGGAAAGCAAAAAATGAATTGCAATCAATGTTAAAGGCAACAAGTACATGAAATGGCAAAGGATGAGCAGGAAGCTGTAGAAACCACTGTTCACTGGGGGTGGTGAGTTTACAGATAGATAGTGCAAAGAAGGCAGAGGTGCTCAATTTTTACTTTACTTCAGTCTCCACAAAAAAACCCTGCAACCAGGCAAGTAGCAAAATAAATATAAAAAAGGGAGGAGAAGAACTGCAGATCACGATAAGTAAACTTTTGACAAGTTTGAATTAATTTGTGTTAGCAGGCCTCAGGAAACACCTCAGGGTGCTGAAGGAGCTAGCTGAAGAAATCTCAGAGCTAGTGGCAATAGTAATTGCAAATTCATTGATAATAGGCAAGGTCCCAGAAAACTGGAGAAAAGACTATATAAAAAGGGGATAAAGCAAGATCTGGGCAATTACAAACAAGTCAGTCCAATGTTATCTGGGAAGGTACTAGAGCAAGTTGTAAAACAGTCCATTTGTAAATAACTGGAGGTGGAAGGGACAGTCACCACGGATTTGTTAAGAACAAACTGGCTTGTAGACAACAGAATGAAATTCAGCAAAGCAAATGTAAAGTGGTGCACATAGAGAAGAAACGCCAAATGCAGACGTATACAATGGAGGCTAAATGGTGTGACATTAACACTGCCAAAAAGGATTGAAGCACTGTGGTGGATCACAAATGGAACATGAGTCAGCAATGGGATACTGCTGGGGGAAAAAGAAAATGCAATTTTGGGTTCCATTAATAGAATTAATATGCAGGACAAGGGAGCCATGCCACTTTATTTAGCACCAGCTAGGTCTTGCTGGAGGTACTGTGTCAGTTTTAGGCACTGCATTGTCAGAAGGGGAGAGGCAGGGGGCACATGCAGCAGAGCTCATCGGGTCGATGGTTGCCCCTGTGGTGCTGTGCATGGGGCTGAGCCCTGCCCGGCCAGTGCTACTGTTCCACGGTACTGCCCGCACCTGCCCGCCATGGACTGGGCCAGCATGCAGCTTCTAGCAGGGCAGTTCCCAGTGTGGCTGCAGCTGACTAGGCTTGCATTGTCACTGGGAGGCAAGGGGAGGAGAGCAGCGCCTGCCGGGCTGGAGCCCCATCAGGACAGCTGCACCGGAAGCTGAAGACACTTGGCTGGGGTCTGGGCTGGCAGGGCTATTTTGCTTCCTTCGCCTTCAGCTGTGGCTGCTGCTCCTGCTATGCCACGCCACTCTGGGCAGGCAGGTGGGAAGTTACAGGTGGGAAGTTGCAGTCAGTTGGCTCCCGCCCAGCATGTGGAGCTGTGGCTCTAGCTCCCAGCCACCTTCCACCTGCTCTGCCTACCCACAGGTGGTTGCTCATTGCACTGGGCAGGTGTAGCAGGTGGAAGGTGGCTGGGAGCAAGAGCCACAGCTCTACGCATTGGGCAGGAGCCACCCAGCTGAAGTTCCCTCCACTCAGAGTAATGTAGCAAGAGCAGCAGCTGCAGCTGGAGGCAAGGGGAGCAGAACAGCCTGGCCAGCCTGGACCCCGGCCCACTCAAGAAGCTTCTAGCAGGGCTGTTCCTGGTGCAAGTGCAGCCAGTGACTCCCCTTACCTCTAGTGGCAGCTCCTCCTCCTGCTTCTGTGTTGCTCTGGGTAGGAGGGACAAAAGCCAATGATGAGGGCCAGCTGCAGCCACACTGGGAACAGCCCTGTTGCTGGGAGTGCTGTGCAGGCTGCCCCAGTGGGAGCATGTGGGGCTTGGCCCATGTTAAGCACTGCAGGGGTAGCTGCGGGCTGGATCTGGCTCATGGGCTGTATTTTGCCCACCCCTGCTCTAGGTAGAAAAGAAAAGCTGAGGAAGGAAAGAAGAAACATAATTGAACAACTTCAGTTCAGGCAAGAAAGTCCCATGTGATTTCCAAGGACATAGCATTAGAAAGGTTTAAATATGGTAAGGGGTAGAAAGTGTATGCATCAATACAGAAGAGAGACAGCTATTCCCTAGATTACACGTTCTCTGCTGCCTACGTTCTCTAAATGCTGCAAATGAATGTTCAGGCATGACAGATTCAGCCATCAGTAACAATGTGTTGATGGCAGTGTTCATACCGTGCTGATTGGTCCCAGCTGATTCACACTGCTGCCTTAGGAAGTCCTAAGCATCCAGTATGACACACAAGATCAGAGAGAAGATTTTTTTCCTTAGCTGTTAAATTTTCTCTCTGATGTTTTCAAGCTTCTCACTGTTTTTTACAATGTTTCAAGGGATTACAATAATTGTTTGTACTAGCATTTCAAAGTCTAAAAGTTATGGGATATATTTTGAAAAAAAAGTGATAGGAATTGTTTTAGAATATTTGTCCAGCCTGTGGAAGGCAGTAGCTCCTTAACTAGCTAGAGACAACAGAATCAGAAATTCTCATAGCCTCCACTGAAGCTATGTCAATTTACTGCATCCGGGATCTGTCCCTCAATATACTGTCTCTATTTGTTGGCAGGTAGGAAATACATTTGGGCATTTGGGCCAGTACAAAGTATATCAAGGGAGGAAAATTACTAAAATTACTAAGTAAGGAAAGTTGCTCCCCAATCTGGCTTGTAAATGATATTCCAGACATTTTTGATTGGGGAGTGTAATTTTTTTTTATTTCCACATTTGAATGTTCCTGTCTTGAACAATAATGAAAGATTAACATTGTTGGGTTTTATTATCACGCTCAAAGGAATTTGTTCAGTAGTTCCAATGATTTTTTATCCAAATGAATGATTGACATGTTGCCTATTCTTTCTTAATTCAGAATCAGTCTAAGAAGTACTGAATCAAAATGGTTGTCCACGAGTTACTGAATGCAGTATTTCATTTTTGGATAATATTGTTTAAACAAGTCTTTTGTTGTTTCTCAGGTCACTGAGCTAGCAGGCTACACAGCGCGAGTGTACAACATGTTTTCAGTCTTTGACGAAGTGAAGAGAGGCATTTACAAAAAAACTGCTGTTATTCAGGAGGAGAGGAGCAACAGCAGGCATGAAGGCAAAGTGGAACTACACATTGACGGTCCCTTGGAAATCAAGGGTAATTTCACATTTTGATTCATTTGTCTATGAATTCCTGGCTCCGATGTACAACTGTACAGCTGCGGTAGGGCAGGTTGGGAAACAAACCTTCTGTTTACTCAGTTCAGTCACACTCTCCTCCTCAGTGCTCGAGGGCCATTGCCTTTCCATTGCAAGTTTCTCACTTGCCTCCGCAGCCTCTCATGCCTGCCAGCAGATATCCCTTCCATATTAATATATTCACACTAGGTTAACCAAATCTTTTCTGTTTTAATGTTTTTCAACAGAAAACTGGGATATTTAACTAAACTCAACTTTTTCGAGAAAATGCCTGTTATCCTCTGAAATTTAATTTTTTTCCCATCAGAAAATGGAAACCTGACATTTCATTTTAAAATGGATTTTTTTGTAATTGGCTTATGGTGGGCTTGGGCTTAAAATAGTTGTTAAGTTACCGAAATTCAAAGTCTTCACCTAAAGTCAGTCAGCCGCACCTCTGTCAGTTGTGTACCCCTAATTCTTACTATGTCCCATTCCCCGTGTCTCTTCCTTCCCACTTCTAGTTTCTCTTCCAATTCTCTTATGTAGTCTTCTGCTATTCATTCTTTCTTATTATCTTCAAAGGTTCCTTTCAATTTGTGCTTTCCAACTGCTGTTGAACTCCTACATTCTTTTTTTTTTCTTTAAAAAAATATCCAGAAATGAAGGAGTTAAAGAGCTGTTGCTGAGATTTTTTTCTTATTTCACTTACAACACTACTGCCCTTCAGCATAGATTTCTCAACAGGGTTGTCATAAACACCCTGAAGCAGCACAATTGCTAAGGGAGGAAACAGCTGATTCCCTGACCTTGTAGGATGTGATAAAGTTTGACTGCTAATAAAATAAACAGCTGTTTTATCATCTAGTAAAGAAAAAAGTTTATAGTTCATAGAGCAGAGTATTAATTTCTTTGGCCCATGGGCAGTTGTCCATTAGTAAAATGACCTACTTAAAAAAATGGAATGCAGTTTAGATATGAGAGAATCCTTGGGTACAGCAGATATTTTTTTTCCAACCTGCACTAGGACTTTGGTTCCAAATAGTTAGAAAGGCTACACATTTTGTGTGGCTTTCACATCAGAAGTTGCAATGTAATACTATTTTTCTTCTTTTCTTCCTTTCTTTTAGTTTTAATAATTCAGAGATCTCCGTGTAGGGTTTTATAACACAGAAATGGTGTGCGCTTGTATGCATATATACATTCAAGTGTTAAAAGAGAAGCATCCTCATATTAAAATTTCTTAATTATCTGTACTTTTAGACAAGTCTATTACAATACCATGTACCATTGATTTTCCTTTAAATCATCGAGTGTACGCTTATCTGTCACCAAAGAGTGTTTATATTATCCTCTGTGTTTACTGCAGTCCATACATTTACTGATATAGGATAGAACAGGGCTGGGCAAAATGGTGGCTGGACTCCACTTCCCAGCAGGCCCTCCCATGTGGCTGGGGCTGGTTTCCATGGAGACCCCAGCAGCAGCGGTGCTATGATAGTGTGAGGCTGGGGTTTCCATGGAGATTGGCCCCAGCAACGCTGCCAGGGCAGTGCGCAGAGCTGCTCTGGAGCCCAGCTGGGATCTTGCAGTACTGAGAGTGTGATCCGGAGCCAGGGTGGATCTGCTGCCTGTACGTCTTCGCCCAAAGCATGCAGGCTGCAGATTGCGGCTCTGCTGTGACTCTGGATCATGCTGTCACCACTGCAAGGTCCCAGCTGGGCTCTGGAGCAGCTCTGCGCCCTGCCAGCATGGGTGGTACTGAGGGGGGGACTAGGTGGGGCTATAGCCAGCCCAAAATGACCTGTAGCCCCCTGTAGTCACCCCTCCCAGCAGCACCACCGCTGCTGCCCGCCCTATTTAGGTGGCAGCAGCTGAACCTGCTCTGATTCTGCCTACAGCACAGCTCCCCTTGAGCCCCCACTACCAGGAAGAGGATGGCACCGCTGCTGCCTGCCAGTGCTGGTGGAGCTGGTCTCCACGGGAACCCTGGCTCCATGCTATCACAGCGCTGCTGCTTCTGGGGTCTCCATGGAAACTGGCCCCAGCCACGTGGACAGGGGCTGCTAGGAAATGGGAGTCCACTGCTGGGCAGATCCGTCTCATGGGCTGGATTTTGCCCACCCCTGGGATAGAAACAAGTGAAAAACTTTTAAATATTTTGTCAATTTACAATATTACTGTATAATATTGTTTTCTTATTAAATAATTCAGAATTACTAGAAAGTAGTACCACAATGTAATTTTTATAGAAGAGCTATCAGATAATATTCCTTATTACCTAAAACTCACTTTATTATGAGAATGTTGATGTTGCAAAGTCAAGCTTTTAGGAAATGGCAGAATTAAGATTGCCTATCCAGATTTCACCATGTTGTCTGAATTCTTTATAAACCTGAATGAAGTTCACAGCACCTGTTTAATATTATTATTATAGATGGGGAGGTGAATAGCAGAGAGATTAAGGCTGAAAACCTCAAGCTCTTGCTCCAGAGAATAGAGCATCTCAGTGCCATATTTACATGGACAGAAGAACTTATTTTCCCCTAAATCTGTCTCAGAATCCACAGAACTGTTTTAACTAAAACCTTTTGCAAGGAAATATCAGCCTGAAGCAGATAGCGAGTATAGAAAATTTCAGCCCCAATGAAACGTTTACAGCTTTGTGAAGTTATTAGCAATTGAAAACAAGGCCTTATAATGGAAAATGTTAGGTAGTTTTGGATGTAGACAGTGCTACCCAATCCAGCTATAACTATTCTATTTCAATGTAATGTAATTTAATTTAATTACTATTTTAATACTTAAGATGCACCTTCATATAAAGAGAAATTTCTACCCTCCCACCCCCAATCTGGCTTGTAAATTATATTCCAGACATTTTGGATTGGGGAGTGTAATGTTTTTATTTCCACATCTGAATGTTCCTGTCTTGAACAATAATGAAAGATTAACATTGTTGTTTTTTTCTCATGCTCAAAGGAATTTTTTTCAGTAGTTCCGATGAATTTTTATCCAAATGAATGACTGACATGTTTAGAAATTTAAATTTCATTCTAAATTTAAAAAAAAGAAGATTAAGATACTAGATTATAACAGGCTACATTGATTTGTTTCCATATGGTCTTATAAGGTATCAAGGACCAGCATTATAGCTTGTGAGACCTGAAGCCATGAATTGCTTTTCCCTGCAGTCTCATTGTTAGAAAAGACTGAACTAGGCTGTTTGTGTGAGTCTCAGAAATAAGTTGGTTGAAGTCCAATTCTGATTGAGGCTGGCCTTGGAAAATATGCAGTAGAGTAGATTTGATTTAATTCAAATTGATGTAAATCATGATCTAAATCACAGTTTAGATGATTTAATCATTGATTTCTACAAAACTGCATTCTTGTTGTTTGATATAACCTTAATATGTATTATTCACAACTCAGAGATAGATGTAGGTTTCATTTTTAGAAGATACACACTATACATTTTAAAGCAGTGATTTATTTTGATATTTTGTCATTAATTTTGCAGCTACATCAGAAAACTGAATTATGACATTTTAAATTGTTTGTTTAACTAAAACAAGCGTGTGTATTTTGGATATTTTTCTTCAACAGCAAACAAGTATAATTATTTTAACAAAACAAGCATATGCATTTTCTATTTTTTAACTATTTTAGTTAGAACTGTGAAACGTGTTTCTAACAAAAAATAAGTAGAGTATTTCAGCCAGGTAAACATGAGAAACTTAAAATACTGGGTTATGTAGCAAACTCAGTCTTCATCTTCCTCTTCATTTCTCAATTTAGAATGAATTAGTCCAAAGGAAGAAAATATTCTTTCTATACCTGCAGAAGTAGCTACTGGTGTTAAAAGCTGGATTATCACTTCAGTAGTCTCTGATGGATCCAGATGCTTAAGTGACTTTCACCAGTTCACTGGTGTGACTTTCTTTAAAACCTCATCAGCAAACAGATTTCTTGAATGGTTCACCCTTAACCCTGAAATTTATTATAGTTGGTATTATGGAGGGACGACTGTTGGATGTCTATGTCATAGCCAACTCAGCAGTTAAGGATTGGCTCTGGCACTGAGTATTGAGAATATAAACAGGAAAATAAACTGGAGATAGCATTTGATCCATTTGTTTTTTTAATGCCAGTAATTTCAGTCTGTCATTGCGTATTTTTCTTTTCAAGGTTTCACTCAGTTTCTTCCAACTTTAAACAGCATCAGCAATAAAACAGCACTTTCCTTGAACTTTGTCAAGGCTATGAAAATAGGCTTCAGGGTAGTCAGCACACATTCTACATTCCTCTTTAGCTCAATATTGAGAACTTTGGCTGTGACAGATCCATCTATTCTGTCAGTCTTGTTCACAAATTGTCATCAGATTAGGCCAGTTTTCAATATACCATTCAAAACCGTTCACTACTGAATTCTATCGCATGTCTTGTGGGAGAGTTAGTTTGGTTCCCCCTGCTTTCTTCAGAGCAGCTACTGTAAAGTGGTTGTTACAGAACTGTTTTGTAATTTCAACAACATTAGCTTTTATTTCTGGAGCACTGAATTGTTTGGCTAAGAGGTACGCCAAGTGAGTGCTTTAGCCATATGTTATTAGCTTAGGGCTTTCTTTACTTTCTTCTAGATTTCTTCTCAGCTTTGATACATTTGCAGCATTGTCTGAGACAAAGCTGCATACTAGACATTTGAAATTTTTTCAGTTTGTTATAACTTTTACTGCTACTTGTAAGTATTCTGCTGTGTGTGCACTTCCTGATGTAACAATTATTTCTGTAAAGCAGACAGTCCCTTTTTCTGTTGTCACACAGTCACATTACTGGATCACTGTGTCCATTGCTCCATCCATCAAGACTCGGGTTAACAATTTTCCCCTCTAGACTGTTTGCACACTGTTCAATTTCTTTCTCATACACTTTATCCAGCAATATGATCTCAAATAGTATATAAGAAGAAGATATAATCCCTATTTCATGATGATAGCTTTGAGCTTTAAGATATCTTAAAACTATATATAGATTCATTTTTTAAAAAGCATCTAAAATACTATTAAAAATACAATTTTAAATTAAAAAATCCAATTTTTAATTTTTTAAAAGAAATAATTTATTTTTTTAATCCATCCTGATATTCAGTGATTTATGATTTTACAATCAGTTGTACTTGGATTACACTCACTACAGAAAGCAAGTGTGTGTTAGTAAAAGGCTTAAAAATAGTATTAATTAACTTATCAAGTTTTATATTTTTACAAATCTGTACAGATGTTAAATAATTAATCCCAACAGTGACCCACTGGGATATTTAAGAATTATCATCTCTACATTGCAAGAGGGGAACCTGAAACATAGGTGTTTGAGTCATTTGCCCAAAGCCAGGTTTGGCACTTGGATATTTGTGGCTCATAGCCATGTGCAAAGACCTCTAGAGCTTCCATGACTATTTCACTAACTTTTTTTTTCTTAACTTGTAGGAAAAGTTATTGATGTTGAACATGGAATTGTGTGTGAAAATGTTCCTATTATTACCCCAAATGGAGATGTGGTGGTTTCCAGACTAAACTTCAAAGTAAGATGATATGCAAGAATCTTCTGATTGTTGCCATCACATTAACATAAAACAACACAGAATTCATGTACCTTATGTTAAATACTTGGAGGAGCATATGGAAAAAAGGGGAAGTCAAGAAAGGTAGGCATAGTGGCTCAATGAAGGCAGATATGTACAGTTTATCCTGCTCAAAGAAACTACATGGAGAAGACAATGGTTTGACATCTGGTTCCATTGCCAGATGAAAAATCACAACTGGGATATTCAAAGCTGCATAAGGACATCCTGCATCTATCTCCTGTTAGATATCAAAGGAATGGGAGACTCTCAAACTCCAAATTTCTTTTAAAATCTGAGCCCACAATGTTAGTGTAAACTGAGCTTGTAACATTACTTGACCACTTCTAGGAGCTGTATTAACTAATAGCTAACTTCATATTTAGGGACTTACTCATATCGCGATTCCATGATTTTCATAGACACCAGGAAAAACTGCAGTCTCTGCAATTTCATGCATAATTGCTGGGCAAAAAAAACCTTGCTAAAAACAATGCTAGCTCCCCAGTTGGGAGCCAGCAGCCAGTACGGTCCAGCCTGACAGCCTGCCAAGTGAGGGGGAGCTGCTGACATCATAGAAGCATAGAAGTAGGGTCGGAAGGGACCTTGTAGATCTTCAAGTCCGACCCCCTGCCTGAGCAGGAAGAAAAATGGGCTCAAATGACTCCAGCCAGGTAGACATACAGCCTCTTCGTAAAGACCCCCAGGGTAGCAGCCAGCACCACTTCCCTTGGAAGTTGGTTCCAGATCCTAGCCGCCCTTACTGTGAAGTAGTTCCTACAGATGTCGAATCTAAACCTACTCTCCAACAACTTGTGGCTGTTATTCCTTGTTATCCCAGGGGGTTCTAGGGGAAACAAGGTCTCCCCCAACCCCTTCTGGTGCCCCTTGGGGGTTTATAGACAGTCACCAGGTCCCCCCTCAGCCTTCTCTTGTGAAGGCTGAACAGGTTCAGGTCCCGTAGCCTCTCGTTGTAGGGTCTGCCCTGCTGTCCCTGGATCATGCAGGTGGCCCTCCTCTGGACCCTATCAATGTTGTCCACATCCCTTTTGAAGTGGGATGCCCAGAACTGGACACAGTACTCCAGCTGTGGCCTGACCAGCATCGCGTAGAGGGGGAGGATCACCTCCTTGGACCTACTTGAGATGCACCTGTGGATGCACAATAAGGTCCGGTTAGCCCTGCCGACCGTGACTTCTCACTCTCGGCCCATGTTCATCTTGGAGTCAATGATGACTCTGAGATCCCTTTCTGCCTCTGTGCTCTCAAGAAGGGAGTTTCCCATCTTACAAGTGTGCTGCTGGTTACTACTGCCCAAGTGCAGCACCCTGCACTTGTCAGTATTGAAATGCATCCTGTTTTTGTTAGCCCATCCCTGCAACCTATCCAGGTCTTTCTGCAGTCTTTCCCTCCCTGCTAACGTGCCTACCTCTCCCCCAAATTTTGGTATCATCAGCAAATTTGAACAGGTTGCTTTTCACCCCGTTGTCCAAATCGCTGATAAAGAAATTGAACAGTGCGGGCCCAAGGACCGAGCCCTGGGGGACTCCGCTGCCCACTTCCCCCCAGGTCAAATATGACCCGTCCGCCACCACCCTCTGAGTACAACCCTTCAGCCAATTTGCAATCCATGAAAGGGAGTAGCCAAGATAGTGGCCACCTCTTCCTCCCTTTGCCACTGATTGGCTGAGAGGGCTGCCTTTCATGCAGCTCAGCCTCTCTCCACCAATCAGTGGTGAGGGGTGGGGCTGCATAAAGTGCAGTCCTCTCTGCCAGTCAGTGGCATAGGGCAGGGCCATGTGAAGGGCAGCCCTCTTGGCCAATCAGCTGCGAGGGGCAGGGGTGCTAGGCTGCCTTGTCCAGTGAGTGGGGGGATAAGGACGAGGGGGGCCTTGCTTGTGATAAGTCTGGAAAAATGGTGACTAGCACCGTGATCAGCTTGCAAAATTGCTTGTCTGCCACCTCAGTTTTGGTAGGTCCATAACTCATAGTTTACAGGCTTAATCCTTAAATCTTTACTTAGTAAAAACTCACATTGTTTCTAATGACTTATTACAAATAACATTTAATGCGTGTTGATGCTACATTATTTCTGAATGGTATTTACATACCAAAGTTTTGCTAGTACAGAAATTGCTGTTTCTAGAAATAGGTAAAAGTAGTGGAAAGCTATCTGAGAACTTCCACAACCTCACTTGTCTTGAAAAGGCAGCTAACTACTTGCATCACTTCTGCAGGTATACACTGTGCAAGAGAAAAGGACTTAGCAGCAACTGCTAAGACGGGGCAAAATTCATGATGACATGAATAGAAATAATTATTTTAGCATTATGAAATGATGGATTGACAGTCAGGCAAAGATGCCAGTGTGATTCTGCACTTTGCCCAGTAGATTTATACAAAGAATTCACTAATGATGCCTGTGTGTGTGAGAGAGAGAGTTCAGCTGGATAGTGTGTGTGAGAGAGAGAGTTCAGCTGGATAGCTATACATAACATGAATACTACCAATTAAGGATATACATACATAGATAGCATGCCCAAAGTGACATTGCTATTGATATAATTAGAAAAAGATATTCTGAGAAATTTTTCAAAGCAGTTAGTTTTGCATTCTCAGCTTCATCACTCAGAGGCTAGGGACAAAAATTACACACAAACCAATTTAAGTGATTGGAAGCTGGTTTAAACCTGTAACAGAGTAGAACTTCAGTGCACATAAACCTCTTTCAAAATGGCCCAAACCTGTTTAAGATAAACCTGAACAGATGTAGTATCAGACTTAACTGATTTAGGTTAAACTGGTTTGTGAAACTTCTGTCCCAGATCCCTTCCTGATTTAAGTTAATTCACAGTTCCCAACATCCCAGGATGCTTTGCAGCCCTGGGTTGTGCTGTCTATCTAGGGGCAGCATAGCTGTCACAGAACTGAAGTGCTAAAGCCTCAGCTCCCTAGCCTGCTTCCTGCCTGGGCCTGTCAGCCCAGCGGGATAGTGGGGCAGAGGAATAGGGTCCCAGGCCCCCCTTCCCCAGCCCCAAGCTGTACAGCAAGGGGAGGAAAAGCCCCTGTGGTGAGGGCTTTTTGTTCCCCCCACCTTGCAGCCCAGAGAGCTGGGCAGGTATTAGCTCAGCCCCTCCTTCTCCCCAGCCTCTGCCTCCTGTGGGTGTGAATGCAGCCCTCCCCACTCCTGCCTAGCACTTGCTCCCCCAGCCCTTTCCCAGTCCTCTGCCTCCAAGAGGGATGGCAGGAGCAGGTGTAGGAACCCTCCCCCCAACCAGTGGTCCCCCCAGCTGACATCTGCCAAGGGGGCTTTTCACCCTGCAGCTCAAGCTCAGCTGGGATTGTCTCAGCCTCACCCCTGTCCCAGCCATTGCATCCTAGATGGGCAGGGTGGGGAGGCAAAAGGTGGTAACGCACTGCCCCTGCACCAGCTTCCCCAACTGAGGTGCTGGGTGCGGAGGGCACCTACTGGAAGGATTTTCACCTCTCCCCCCTGCCCCTCAGCAGCTCAAGATGGGCTTGGCTCAAGCTGCAATGGGGTGGGGGGAAGCCTCCGAGTGGGAGCTTTCCCTTCCATGCCCAGCAGACCTCAGCTGGGAGGACTGGCACAGGGGTCCAGGGGTCACAGGGGTCAGGGTCTGGTGCATTCCCACCCCTGTCCCCCCACCTGCCCCTCTGGGAGGTGATGGCTGGGGAAGGAGTGGAGCTGGGGCAATCCCAGCTGGGCTTAACTTGTGGGAGGGTGTAAAGCCCCCAAGTGGGTGCTTTCCTCTCCATACCGGGCAAATGTTGACTGTGGGGTGGTCTTCCCCCCCCCCCCCTTGCTGAGGCAGGGGGTTGGGGAAGGAGCATCTTGGAGCTGGGGAGTGGACGGGAAGACACCGAGGGCAGGCTTTTCCCTTGCACCCCACAGACTCTGGCTATCAACCAGGCCTGAGCTGCCACTGAGCTGAGCCCAACAGCCTCAGGCAACCTGGCCATGAGGGATGGTGTGCATAAGTGCCTGGCCTGGGCCAGCGTAGGCTTCTGCCTGTCTTGGCCACCCAAACACTGAACATCAGTTCACTTTGTTACTGCTTCAGTTTAGGAAAAAATGGAGAATATTGAATTTATTTTTGCCTTGGGGTTTTTTGAACCTCTGTACTTAGTCAAAGTGGTTAAGGGGATTGACTTTATATATTGCTTTGGGAGTTTACTCCTTTCTGTCTGATTCCATAAGAAAAATTGATATCACCAGCTGCGGACTGACATTGTAATGGAGCTTAATCTAGTTTACAGGAATGTTAAGCTTGTAAGGTACTGATTCCTTTTAACTGCTTACAGTCCCCTTAGACTGAAGCACAAGTATGTGAAGGGAATATTTGGCTCTAAGTGTTATTTATAGATGCAGTACAAGAATGTCAGAAATCAGAATCCCTCATAGATAGTGACATATGTTATGTGGGCAAGTGTTCCCAACTCTGTGAAAGTAGAATTCAGTTTTATAGCATGTTAAAATAAACCATACTCAGCCTTTATCCAAGAAACAAAGTGACCCAATGATTAAAAAGATGTCAGTGATAATGACTCCCACTCATCCACAAAATAATCCTGTGTCTTCTGTAAGTGATAACATGCTATCTAAACCCTGGGTATGTTGTTGCTTTCATGGAGCTAGTAAATATGATATCTCCTGGTTCCTTTGCTTTTGTTCTTTGAATGCATATGTTGTATGGAAATCCACTGGGGGTTCTTTGTTTGGGGTTTTTTCAAGCAGACTACATAACTAATAACTAGTGAAACTGACTTAAACTGTTTAGGTGGCTTCGTTTTTTAGGTGTTAGTGTTATGTGTTAGTGCAAAGTAGTGATTTTTGAAAAATTGTTGCTTCATCACTTTCATTATGATTTTAGGTACAGGAAGGAATGCATCTTTTAATCACTGGTCCCAATGGCTGTGGAAAGAGCTCTCTGTTCAGAATTTTAAGTGGTCTATGGCCAGTATATGAAGGAGTTCTCTACAAACCCCCTCCTCAGCACTTGTTTTATATTCCACAAAGGTATGTGTTTTTGCTTAAGCTGGTAATACTTTTTTCCAGTTATATGAATATTGAGCCATATTGCATATGGTTAAAATCATAGCACCTAAAGTTAAATTAGAAGGTGATAACCAGCACCTCTGATTATTAGAGAATGCTAAGAGCTCTCATTTCCAGTCACTGTAGGGCATTGAGAACAAATGTACACTCACCCTTGATGTCCAGGGAGGACTGGATATTTAGGGAGCACTGGGGAACAGCATAGAGTTTTTGTAAGGAATTTGAAATACACCTAATGTAGATGAACTCAAATTTCACATTTGTTTTAAAAGCAAAGATCAAGACAGGTGGGAATATGTTTTTTCTAAATCTTGAGTTTTTTAAAAGAACTAAACTTTTGCAAATTTAAAACTTTTAGTGAATTTTCAAATCATAGTTATTTACATGGCTTTGTAGAGCTAGAAGAGAATATAGACCCCTGCACATCGTAGCCATGTTGGTATGTACTTTGTATAAGTTAATGCAGTCTAAAACATGCAGTTTGTCATGCGGCCTATGTTAGCCCAGGGTAAACACCATGACTAAATCCAGCATTAGATATGCTGGAGGGTAGGGTTAGGATTCAGAGATACCTAGACAAATTGGAGGACTGGACCAAAGGGAATCTCATGAGGTTCAACAAGGACAAGTGCAAAGTCCTGCACTTAGGACAGAACAATCCCATGTACAAGTACAGGCTGGGGACTGACTGGCTGGGACAGCAGCTCTGCAGAAAAGGACCTGGGGGTTACAGTAGACAATAAGCTGAATATGAGCCAGTAGTGCACCATTATTGCCAAGAAGGCTAATGGCATACTGGGCTGCATTGGTAGGAGTGTTGCCAGCAGATCAAGGGAAGTGGTTATTCCCTTCTATTCAGCACTAGAGAGGCCACATCTGGAGTCCTGTGTCCAATTTTAGACCCCCCGCTACAGAAAGGATGTGGACAAATTGGAGAGTCTGGCGGAGGGCAACAAAAATGGTAAGGGGGCTGGAGGACATGATTTATGAGGAAAGACTGAGGCAAATGGGCTTATGTGGTCTGGAGAAGACTGAGAGGGGACTTAATAGCAGCCTTCAATTACCTGAAATGGGGTTCTAAGGAGGATGGAGCTAGACTGTTCTCAGTGGTGGCAGATGACAGAGCAAGGAGCAATGGTCTCAAGTTGCAGCAAGGGAAGTTTAGGTTAGATATTAGGAAAAACTTCTCACTAGGAGGGTAGTGAAACACTGGAACAGGTTACCCAGAGAGGTGGTGGAATCTCCATCCTTGGAGGTTTTTAAGACCTGACAGAGCCTTGGCTCAGATGATCTAGTTGGGGCTGATCCTGCTTTGAGCAGGGGGTTGGACTAGATGACCTCCTGAGGTCTCTTCCAACCCTAATTTTCTATGATTATTATTCTTTTATTCTCAGACTGGAACTGAAGCAGGACAGCACCCTAAATGGTTATTCCCATGGTCATTTTGAGGCTGTTGAACCTCTTTTCTGTAGTATGCATTTGTATTTCTACATGAAGTGTATATTTAGGTTTAAATATTGTTTCCCAACTACACAAGGTATGTAGAAGACGAGCAAATTTCAGGTTGTGCTGGAACGTTGCAGTTAAAGTAAATCACTGCTTGTCTAGGGAAATCAGTTTGCTTACTTGAAACCATTTTGCTTATGAGCCCATTACAAACTGCTGCCTGGACTGGGTGAGCTTATGTATTTGTTTGTCTCCTTTAATAGTTCTAACATTTCAGGCTTGGCAAGATGACACTAACTACTTTTCCATTATCTATCTGTTTTAAAGTAATTTAAACTTCCACCAAACAGGGATGATTTAAGAAAGATATACATGCCTGCTTTTTGAACAGAGCAATATAGAATTGTTATCAAACTATCAGCTGTTCAATAAGAAAGAAAAAGTACCTCATCTGTTGATATTCAGCGCACTGCTGATATTCAGCACTGAGCAGACACTAAAATGTATAATGAAGGCTGAACAACTGAAAATGCTCCGAAGTAAAGAAGACTGCCTGTAATAATTAACTTTTTATCTCTGATCTTTTTTATGTAAAGTGCAGCCCCAAAATGTAAGGAAAATGAGATAGCTTGGTTGATTTACAGTTATTAAAAGGTGGATTATCTTTTTCTGTGTATAAAATTTCTGCTGCTATGGAAACACCTCAGTTAGTTTTACTTAGTAGTGTGTGGACTCTTAAAAATTGCATCACCTGAGACTCCCTGTCTCCGAGATCACTTGACATTAATTAACATCAACATCTGTTGTTTCCACGATTTGTATCTGCCAAAACGTTGTGAGATTTACATTGTTTTCAGACCTTGACTATATCCTGCAAGATTTAGCTCTGCCTTTATTCAAGGAATAATTCTCATAGAGGCTTTTAGAACGATCTATACTCCCACAGATGCATAGAGCAGTCCAAGTGCTCTCAAACACCAGGCTGCAGTCATCTTTCACTGGGTTTACAATGGGGAGATGGAGGCAAGATTTCCTTCACTTCTCCTCTCCTTGATGTTAATTAAGTCCAGGATTACTCTGGTCCTAATTGTATTCCAGGTTGGATCAAAGTTATACTATTTTTTCTTCTACATTCTATTTTAATTAAATGTAAGTACTTGAGAGGATAGCATGTAATAAGATACTTGGTAGTGTTAGAGTGATGGTGTAGCCATGATGGTCCAGGAATTATGCAAAAGGCAAGGATTTTGGGGGTGATATCTTTTATTGGATGAGCTGCATGTTTGGAATAAAATTAGACAGCGCATTCTTCATCAAGTTGCATTTGTACACACCCAGAATAAAATTTAGGGGACAAGGAAGTCCATAATTAAAAAAAAAAAAAAAGAAACAATATTTTGAATACCACCAGCCCCACCCCAAAACCCCCCCAAAACATGAGTAACAAGCTAAGAACTAACACTAGATATATGAAAATGGGACTTATCATAACAAAGTTTAAAGTATGACTCATCACAATACATCAACATGGTGTCTCAGGGTAATCTGATTTCTCTAGTCTTTGTCCTCTTCTCACTCTCCGCTGGTGTCATATATTTTGGGAGAATGTTCTGTCCCTGGATCATTGTGAAATACTGAATATGAGGTTTACATTTATTTTTCAACAAATCAGGCACTTAATCTTATTCTTTCCCACTCCATCCAAAGATCACAAACAATCCCACCTCTCCTTGTCTCGATATAATCCCCAGCAGAATCCCAGGTCTATGCTCTAGTGGGTTACCTTGGCAACATCTCAGGATTATTCTTCAAAGCAGTAGGGACCAGCCTTTTTGGCAGGTGTGCCACAAGGTCAGCCCCACACCCTCCCCAAGTACCACTCAAACCTCTTCCCCTGCTCAGTCTGTTACTCTTATTTCTGTTCCACATCATAAATTGTACGTGTAGCCATACCAATGGTGACAATCAGCCCTGGTCCTGATGCTGAAAAACAGCTGCCATGAAACCTGGTTGCAAGGGTGGGGGGAGCTGAGGGGCTCTGGCCACTGGGAAGCCAGCAACCTCACAGCCTAGCAGCCTTCCTTGAAGGGAAAGGCACTTAAAAATGCCAAGCTACAGGGAGCTGGGCCAAACCCATACATTTTAGATGTCCCAAGGCATGGGACCCCCAGCTGGAGGAGAGGCTCCCCAGTCTCAGGGTTCCAGTGCCTCAGGACTTCAAGAAGGTACTGAAGATTTCTCTGAGAAATCAGCTGATTGTCAGACCCAGCCCCAACAACCCTGGTTTTAGAACCAGGGAGGGTAGGGGGCAGCCCTGGATTTGGGACAGAGCCACCTCCTGCCCAGTCTGCAGGATCGGACTGGAGGCAGCTGAGCAGTAGTGTGATTGGGACTGGAAGAATCCCAGGTCCATGCTCTAGTGGATCTATGCTCTAGTACATTGTGTCTCTGGCTATGCATGTCTGGCATGGCAGGAGACATGATGTTTGGGCTGCAACATAAAACCCCTCCAAATCTCAGTTATGCCATTGTTTTAACATCTGTCAGGGGCCTGCATTACTTCACATAGCTCCTTTTTCACTTTGTGATTTTTCTGGTACAATATATGGACTTGACTACTTTCATATCTGTCACTATCAGAGTTCAGTTCTGTAATTCCTCCTTCCTCTCCTATAAATTTAATCTGAGTTCCAGTGTTTAGTCTGTTTCCAGGCTCATCAATCATTAAAATGCAACAAAAATGGTTTGCTGCTGCTGGAAATGTCTTCCATTTTTCTTGGCTTTAATATGTCCTGATTAATATACCTATATTTTTCTTGTTCTATTAAATGGGCACTGATGATATGGAACAGAATGAACAAAAATGTTTTCCAGTCTCTTTAAATCTTGTTTTCATGTTCACCTAGTCTATTTCTCATGTTAGCTTCTGTTCCTTTGCAAGCCTTTGTCCCTTGGTTTCTCCTTCTATATTCTAAAAATATCCTTGGCTACCAAACAATTACACCTACAGCTACAAACAAACTTACCTGGCATTCTGCAGTTACTCAAGTGATATTTTTTCCTCAAATAATCCAAAAATAGTATCTTGTGGATGAGAATAAGCAAGGATAATCTGAGCTGTACAAGTGATCATTGTTTTAGAAAGGTATAAGGGCATAAAAACAGATGGGTTATAATGCACCTTATGTAATGAAATAGTAAATAACTGTTGTAATTAAAATATAATTGTTTTTAGACAGTTCTTAATTTTGCAAAGTCTGTTTTTTTCAGATCCACTATTTTTTGTATTATTAGTGCTTGCAAAGAGTTGTATAATACTTCTTTCTCACTACTGCGTAATCTTAGAATCAAGGTAAATTACTGTTTACCAATAATAATTGTTCCTTTCAGCTTCTTACTTCTGCTGTCCCACACCTAACCTTTCACCATTATTTCAGCTGAATCCTGGATTATTCATATGCCATATTTACTTAACTCCAAAATGAGATGCCTCCACTCCCCCCATTTAACATGGT